CACTTCTGAAATCTTGCCAGGAAAACTGCAGGGACTTATCCAGGCAGTTACCAGTCAAGACTAACTCAAAGGCACCAAAACCACCACCACCACCTCCAAAAAACAAAAAACCAACCATATACCATATACCATATACCATATACCATATACCATATACCATATACCATATACATACATACACGTACTTCAGCCCAAATCAGTCCACTGCAGAATGGTGGCCTCTTAATTGAAGGTTATAGACTGAAATCTATCATGCTGGTCCAGTCCAGGTTGATAGATTGATGTTTTTTTGACTTCCCAGTCTAGGACTGAGAGAGAGGGACTGGCACAAAGACATCTCAAAGTCAGAGAGAGGATTAGAACCTGGGTCTGCCCATACCAACTCCAGCACCTTAGTTACTATACCACAGAGATAAGATTTTGCTGGTATCAGGGCCAAATAACCCATCTATGGGTTTAAATTTTAGCCAGTGTCTAAATTGCCTATGTCTAAAATGCAATGCCTGAAATGCCTATGGCAGTTCAAATTTTAGTCAATGTCTCATATGCAAGCATTAACAATTCCAAAAAATGTACGGGTGCTCAGAGAAGTCAGGAAATAATGGGCACTAATGAAATCTTTTTTCTTTTCTTTTTTTACTATTTGCTTTCATGCCAACTGAGTATCTCCACATCCTGAACAGAAATGGCATCTTGTATTCCTTTTGTGAGAGCAGTGTTGTACTAAGAATAACGTGCTTGGTGTACTTAGTGAGTTGTATGAACCCGGCCACTGTAATTTATGAACTACGATCCTTAACTTAGCATGATGATCATCCAGTTATAATTTGTACTATATGAGCAGATCATGGCATAGCAGAATTGTCCATAGGCCAAACTATTTATTTATTTATTTATTTATTTATTTATTTATTTATAGTTCATTAATCAGATAATTGAGCATGAAACTGAGCAAACTCAGGGAGGCAGTGAAGGACAGGAAGGCCTGGCGCAATATGGTTCATGGGGTCACGAAGAGTCGGACACGACTTAACGACTAAACAACAACAACAACAATCAGATAATAATTGGTTTGCACAAAGTGCTTGTAACAGTTGTTCTATTATAAAAACAATTGCCCACTTAGTTATAATACCATTCTGTAAAGGCAGTTTGGAATTGGAAAAAAAATACTGATTTGCCACCATAAGCACATAAAAATTAAGTCTTTTTATCTTTTTTCTATCTGGGTAAGTGTGGTTCTTTTTTTTTTATAACTTTTAATTATGTATTTATGGTTTTAATTGGATGTAAACTGCCCAGAGTCCCCCATTGCGGGGAGATGGGCGGGGACAAATCTACTAAATAAATAAATAAATAAATAAGTAAGTAAGTAAGTCTGTTGTCTGATCAAGAAACAGAATCAGTTATTAAAAGTTCCAAGGTGGAGAAAATTAACATTTTCTAGGTTAAAGAATAAATATTTTTTTATTGCCACCTATTGACAGTATTTATAACTATAATATTTATTGACATTCTGATTTGGACCAGTGGCATTTTCAGCTTCAGAGATACCTAAATTATTATAAGGGAAAAAGGCCATATTTAGTCTTTGTAATACTTACTATCAATAAATCAGTTTGATATGTAGAATTTGAAGACTGAATGGAACAAGGAATTGAAGACCCCTACTTTCCCTAAACAATGGGAAACTCTTAATATCTGTATCAAAAAATCCAATAGATTATGGCTTAGTCAACAAAAAACAATATTTTAAACTTACTGGACCCCACTGCGTGTATAGAAAAAGAATGAGTAAATCATCACATTGCTGGAGATGTAGTAAGAATAATTCTTCATTTGTAAATGTTTTTGTGATGTCCTAAAGTTGTTATGTTTGGAGAATAAGTAATTTACATACATTAATTTGACTTTGCAATAGGGTTTAATACTTTCAAATATTCATATTTTCAATTAGGCACCTATTACATGGAAATGACAGCTGGAAAATGGAAATGGAATATTTTTACTGTTAAGAGACTATTCCTTCAGTGTTGGAAAAATAATTGTATGGCCCCAATTATTCAGTGGACTGGAGACCTGGTATTATTTGTCACTTATCAATCTATGCTCATAGGCATAGATTATGACAATTCAATAAAATATTGTTATCCTTTATTATAAATAATAATTTTTATCCCCCTTTTTTTTTAATGGTCAGCTCAAGGTGGCAAACATCCTTCCTGCCTCCTACGTTCCCCAGAACAAAGACCCTGTGAGGTGGTTTGGGTGGAGAGAGAGAGGGACTGGCCCAAAGCCAGTTTCCATGTCTAAGAGAGGCCTAGAACTCACAGTCTCCAGGTTTCTAGGCTAGCACCTTAATCATTACACCAAATTGGCTTAATTAAGACTGTTATGTAACACTCTATGTATGAAGCACCCTTATATATATAGTTTTTATTCCTTTTTATTTTTTTCTACATTTTCTTATTTCTGTTTAATTAAATAAAAACAGCCCATCACCAGTTTTTTTTTACAGAAAATTAGGGCTTGGGTTGTCCACTAGGTGGCAGAAAAGACTTTTTCTTTCTCTTTGTTGGCCTCTAGTGGCAATTCACATTTTTATAGCCCAGATTTTGTACTTTAATAGATTTTTTGGGTGACGGGGTGCCTTTACTCCTAGTGACTGTCTGGACAAGTGCTTGCAGTTTTCTTGGCAAGATTTTGGAAATAGTTTGCCATTGCCTGCTTCCTAGAGTTGAGAGAGAGTGACTGGCCCAAGATCAACCAGCTGGCTTTGTGCTTAAAGTGGGACTAGAACTCACAGTCTCCTAGCTTCTAGCCTGGTACCTTTAATCACAACATCAAACTGGCTCTCTTTAATAGACTATTCCACTTCAAATTGCAAGCAATAGAATATATTCATGGCAAATCATAACCAGATTAATAAAAATATGGTAGGAATAGCATGTGCATTTTAAAATGAGCAACATGCAAAATTTAACATTGGAGTGGCAAGTGATGGTCTTGTATATATTAAAACTGTAAGTACATATAGCTATCACAGTAACAGTATTTCATGTTATTTTGAGGATTTTTCATCTGAGCAAGTGAAAAGTTGTTTTGATGCTATCAGATGGTTAAATTCTAGAACACAGTTTTAATCTTGCAGTACTCAACATACAAGCAACTAAGATTTAAAATAGGCGTGCAGAATCTTTGTGAGGCCAGATTTTCAAAAAATTGCTTGACACCTGCAGTAAGAAGTCCTTTCTTTTTATAATAAACCACTCTATCTGAAAGATCACCCATTTAATAAATGTTTTAATAAAGATGGCAGGGAGTGGGATCCTAAATTTTTCTCTCAAATTTCCTCATTGTTCATGGATGAACTGAGGGGGGCAGTTAAAACTCCCTAAAATCACCCACAAGCTGGCATGTAGATTTGAAAGAAAGAAGTGTAAGAGAAGCCAAAGCAGGTAAACAAAATCTTCCCCTGCCCCCTAGATGTGGTAGAAGATGATGCTAGAGTGAAAGGTGCCCAGACAGGATAGGGAAGAGTGGAAGAAGCTGAGGTAGACAGGAATTGGACGATCCGCAGCCAGGAAAAAGAGACCAGGAGGAAGGCCGAAGCAGATGAAGCCAAAGAAGGAATCTGTAAAAAGAGCCAGTGGAAAGGAAAACACAGCTTGGACTGTAGACGGTGGCAAAGCAAATGCTGAATGCTGGGAAATTGGGCAAGTGTGTGCTAAGAAGGTGTGAAGTTGTTAGCATTCCTAAGCCTTTGTTGTAAAGTAAATGTGGGAGGAGGAAAAAACAGCAGCCAAGCATTTTGTGTTAGAAAGTAAAGGAGCAGAAGTTTAAGTCATTTAGCTAAATGGAGTCATAATTAACTATAAGGTATACTAACTGTAGGGTTAGTATACCTTATAGTTTTAGTTTTATACACACACACATTCTTATACACTAGAATTCTTGTAAATAGACGATATGCTAAGCACTGTATTCACTTGCTAGCTGAGTGTGTGTCTGACTTCATTCTTATCTGGACTTGCCCCCCAACACTCTTTTTTTTTTTAACTGGTGAAAACAGTCCCTGGGAATTGGCTTGGGGATTAAAATGTAATGCTAGTCAATCAAAAAGCAAAGAATGGCGATCTACTACCTGAGTGGAACATTTTTAGGATCTTCATCATGGCAGGGTCCTTGAGTAAACTTATAAGGTGGCTCATAGATTCTGTGAGATTCAGGCAGCATAGACTCCCTCCCTCCAGGATCTTGGCCTGCTTTAAAGACTGGTTTGCACAGTTGAAATGTTTTCCTTAGTTCTTCATATCTGAAATGAGATCAAACATTATGAAAAAACAGTTGCAGCTATGACATTCTAAGCTGGGGTGACAGTTTATGGCACTCCAGATGTTGCTGAATTACAGCTCCCGATTTCTCTCACTAAGGGTTATAATTCTTGTAACAGCTAGGATCTGAAGGATGTGTTCACACCTCGCACTAAGCCATGCCTTGCTTAATCAGGGCTTATTGAATAAACTACAATTGGCAGGGTTTACACAACATTCCGAATCATAGACAAGGAAACCATGTTAAACCAATACAAGAGAATATGTGTAGCTCAGGATTGAACCATGGAGTCCTTGGGGTTCTCTGAGCTCTCTGAGCTTGGTTGTTTTCTTGCAAACGTTTCGTTACCTGGCTAGGTAACATCTTCAGT